AGTGAAATTTCTGTTCTTAATTCAAATTGATTTAGCTTCAGCCGGTGAAATTGTGTTCTTATCTGAAAATGCATGTTAGGTGTTTGACAAAAGGTTAAGAAAATTGGACACTTGTTGGTTACTTTGGTACTTCTGGTGATTGTGTTGAGACATTGTTTATCTTGATAAATTAGTATTTTAATTCTTCTTGGCACATTATGAGGAAAAAAAAAAGGAAAAAAATGTGATTGTAAAAGTTGGGTTGCTAGTTGACTGAACACGGTTCTGATTTACAAATGATAGAGCATTGGTTAACCAGGTTTGGAGGACTGCGAGCACATATGCTACAAGGATCTTGTAATAAAGGATCAACAGTGGAATGCTTATATTGATCGTTCTCCTGGAGCTGCCAGTTATTCAGAGGTATTTTCTATCATCGCCCTTGCTTCTTTTACTCACCATATTAGTGATTGCAATCTGCAACTTATCTTGATGATGGTCTGATTTATTCTAACATTAAAGTTATTTTCTAATGATTTCTCTCTCTTAATTACTTTAATGTTTGATTCTGCGACCTTAAAGGAAAGGTTTCTATATGTTGAGTTGTTGTCAGAGAAATGTAGTGTTAGTTCTGAAATGAAGACAATGTTGGGGAAGAATGGCAATTAATTGCAATATGCTTGTAGCTTTTTAAATAGCTTAATTATGGAATGGTTGTCTTTACATGTTTATGATGATTAATCCCTTCCTTTACAGGAACGTTTCTATGCTTGTGTATCTGGTTGCGGTTACAAGGTCAGTATTGAATGGCTAATTTATTTTTCTAGTAGTAACAGCTCGGAAAATCAATAAGCCTGATTTAAAACATGTTTTCACCAACAAGAACAAAAACATGTAAAGCGCATTGGTTGATAGAGTATGAGTATTTAGGAAAGAATTAAAAATATAATATTATTACAGGTATTAATTTCACAAGATATCAATATTCTCCATAAAATAATTTACAAAAAAAATAAATAAATTGTAAAATGAACAGGATTAATTTTACAAAATAAAAAAATAATCAATTAAAAGTTTTGTTTACAGTATATGTTTTTCCTCGTTCGTTTGGTTTCTGGTATATTGAATTGTACTAGCTTGTACTTCATTAGTCATTACTTGGTTCACTTAGCATTTCCAAAGTGTTTTTTTCTTCTTTATTTTATTTTAATCAAATTTTGGTAGCTTGTAATTCATTGGGACGTTTTTTTTTGGTGAGTTAAATATATTTTCCTTCTTTAATATTTTAGATATATTCAGATATTCTCTTCCTTTGTTTGGCACAGAAATTTTCAGTCCACAATTTTATTTTATTTTTGCAGCTATTAGAATTTTTCATCAAGAAATTTTATATTGATTAGCATATTGTCTTTATGAAAATATCTTAGATGGCTATTGCACCTTTTGGTAGTACATCAGCTACTCAGTGGGGAATTCGTCCTCAACTTATCACGAGATCGAGTACAATTGGCAAGATTGCATCATCCTGCTTCAAGTGAGTTCTATGTTTATATATTTCTTGATTAATGCTGATGCTCTTGCACATGGAAAAGAGCTTAATTACTTTAACATAGTTTTATCTCTCATATTATGCTCGTGATATAACCATAAGCTTTTATTTTTGTTAAAAATAAAAAAGTTTGACTTAGTATAAAATCTTTTTTCAAAAGTTTACATTACATAAAAGTCTCTGAATAGGTTAATTAGATATATAAATTTTCTAATGTCAAAACCCACGTCTTATAATGAAATTATGATATCTGGATTCTGGTATGAAATAAATATGATATATTAGAATATAATTAATGAATTGAGTAATAATTATAGGATTTTGATTATACATAAATAATAAATAAATATGTCGCATTCACGAGTTAGTTAGAGTTGTAAATGCTTATGCTATAGCCTATTTAAATAAAAAATTCTCTTGAAATGTCTAAACTTATTTGTTAAATAAAAAATTATCTTGATATCAGGACCTTATGTCGCACCTTGGTCTACGTTGTTCATGGTCATGATCTGCTGGCATGCTTAAGAACCAAAATACGAACGAATAACAAAAAATTGAGGCAATAACGAAGTTGGTGAATTGGATGTGTATGAAGCGTACTAGAATGGTAATAATACCGGGAAGGACTAAGCTCAATACAAATGACACTGCTATGGGTAACCCAAGTCTAGTTGAGTGTGGTGGGATAATTACAGATTAGAATGGCAGCTGGTTAATTAGCAGGATTTTCCTATCGAATTGGCCATTGTTTTGCTCTAATGACAGAGTTGGTGAGGATCGTCAAGGGACTTGAGTTATTATTTTTTTTTCTTTGGAACACTTTATTTTCTGAGTTATGACTTAACAATTCCTTTGAAGTTCCTCAATGGTTGCAGATTTTTAACCATCAAACTGACCCAGTAGTCATTTGTAATAGAATCTTGAAAAGCAGCAGAGTCTCATGACAAAGATGTTAATCGCTCCTTTAATTATGTAGCCTAAAAAATAAAATAAAATAAATTTACTGGTTAATTCTGGTGGATATTTCATACATATAAACTAACGACTAACAAGCTTATATTTGCTTTTGTTTTACCTATGCAGGGGAATCATGTGTTTGAAGTTCCAAATGGCTACAAACTGAAGATAATACCAGGAAGCCCAGGTCTCTTATACTTTAGAAATATGTTTTAATCACCTAAAGTAATATAAGTTAGTGTTGCTATAATGAATATTATGAGAATGTTAGTCTTGTAACCCCTAGTCAAGTTGTTTTTGTTTTGTTTATTTAAATAATGTTACTGATTCAAGTTCATGAATCTCGGTTTGGATTAATTCAGGTTTAGCAATCCAATTAGATCCAATTGAACAAGGTATATATGATGGACAATGGAAGTTGCCTGGAATTAGAAGATAAAAGATTCTCACATTCAGCTAGATTTAGTAGAATCATAGACCACTCACCACTTCAGATGTTTCCTGCGTAAATCATGGTTTACAGCTTGTATTGGAGTTCACCTTAATAATTGTGATTACTAAAATGACAGGTTGAAAAAACGTTACAACCTTTGTCACATTTAGTTGTTTTAGGCTTTTATTGTATTATGTCGATGGCCTTGTAAAATCTGTGTCCCTTCCCCCTCTAATCTTCGAGTTTTCCTTCACCTTTTTTTGACTTTTTTATTGGGATGATGTCCTTGTAACTGACATTGTAACAATGAGAGGGATTCAAGCAATAAATATGGATCTATTTAATTAATTGCAGACCTCTTTTGTAATTATATACATATACTGTCCTTTAAGATCCACCAAATATCTAAAAGCTTACACCCTTGGCTGTATTGTAAAATGTATTTTGTTAAATTGTGTACTACACTTTATTATTTGATTATTTCCCTTAATTTGGTTCTTGGTTCTTGCATCAAATGCAATTTTTATTATTTGTTTTTATATGATAAGGATAATTTGTAATATTTTTTATTTAAAAAAAAAAATTCCTTATAGCCACGGTTTTGTTTGTGGCAAAATAAACTTTTAATCATTGGGATCTAAATCATTTAGCCACGAAATAATGTGGCTAACATAACTGAAACCGTGGCTAATTCAATGTTACCACACTCGTTTTGCCCGTGCTTACATGCGAATAACACCGTGGTTAAAATAATGCAACGCCCATTTTAGCCACGGTTTTGTAAACAGTAGACAATTTGTTTAGCCACGGTTTTATTCATATTTTGCCGCGATATTTGTCGTGGCTAAAAGGAATTTCTGTTGTAGTGTTGCTAAAGTACATACCGACCGGAACTGGGATGATATAATGACGTAGCCGATCGGTGTAAGGAAATTTGAAGATTGTTGTGAAGGTGTTAGTCTGCTGAACCCAGATCGATAAACTGCTGACCCGAAGCATTAAAGTCGAAAGGGAGAGAATTGTTCCTTCTTTAATGCTGACGGCTTGGAGGCTTGGGCATGCACCGCATATCAGGTGCAAGGCTCGATGTCTGATGGTTCTCAACCACTCTAATAAATGCTCCATAACATCCTCATTAATAAAGACCGAAGAAGGGAAAGTGCTTTCCCTACACCTATATAAGGTCGAGAAGACTGTTTGAGAAAAGACTTTTGATGTTCGACCCTCTAAAGAAAAGCTAGATAGTGAGAGATCTCTTTGGAGACGTTTGAGAGAAAAGCCACCATTGTTGGTGAAGATTTATCACCATTGTAGGTGATGTTTTAGAGTTCCTCTAGTGAGACTAGAGAAGTTCGATCTTTTGTAACCTGTTATTTTTATAGTGGAAGTTTATTCTAGACTAGTACCCCGTGATTTTTACTTTTCCGCATTGGAGAAGATTTTTCACGTTAAAATTGTTGTGTGTTCTTCTTCTTCATTTTTGTTTTCTGCATTTTTTCTCTGCTTCTGTGCTTTTTGCATTTCTGTGATTGAAAAAGACAAAGTTTGTTTGCTGTGTTGGCCGACTGGTAAGCAAGTGTGTGCCGACCAACTGTAATAGTGTTAGCCGACCAGCAATATTGCTTTCGCTCAAATTTAAAATGATATGGTGGCATATTTATTCTAAATTTAAAATGATATGGTGGCTTTTTTTTTGGTAGATATGGTGGCTTTTTCTACGTGATACATATGTTGTACATAGTACTGATAATTATATAAAAATAATAATAATGACAAAAAATTGAAATATCAAATCATTTGGGACATTTCTAATCTGTTGGATTTTGTCCCGTTTATTAACACCAACTGCAGTTGGATGAATTCATTTGTCACTCATGAGGTAGGATTTAAGGACATCAATAAAGCTTTTGATTTATTGAGTAAGGGCTTAGGGAAGTTTATTCAATGCGTGATTTGCATGGACAAATGAGGACATCTTATGGAATAAGCCCTTGAATCATGACATGCAATATTAAAAATATTGGACAGTGCTCCTTTCTTTTTTATTTGATGAAAACATTCTTATAAAACAGGTATGCTATTCTATTGCACTGCAAATGCACTTGAAGCACCAGTAAAGTATTTAATTGGGGAGGCGATGGTGATCTTTGATGCTCCAAAGTGTTTTAGTCTGTATACTCCAGAAATAGCATCATTTGGTATTTCCCATTCTATGGTAGCTAAGCCATGCAAGGAACTATTATCTACTTTCCACTTGAAAAACAAGCTTAAATCATCATCATCATAAGTAGCAATCCACCTTTCCCCTTGAAGCATCTCCACTGCAGCAAATGTGCCTTCTGTTAGAAGGTCATTTCTTGGATTGGCACTCCAGAATGTAGCACTTGGTCTATCTCCTTTGGTAAAATAGTCCCTTGCTGGAAAGGCTATATCTTCCTTTATGTCACCAAATTTGATGCCGTCTGGAGTTGAGTCTCCAAAGGGACCAAGTAAGAGGCTTAGTTGTACAGATGAAAGATCAGGTGGCAAAGGACCTTTTCCAATGATTTTTTCCCCTTTACCCATTGCTTGTGCTAGTTTCTTAAATTCTTGGATGTATGCAGATAATGTGTGAGGACCATAGAGTGTTGAAGCAGCCTGCACATTTTGTCATTACTTATTAGCAATAATTTAGATCTAGCTTGTCTCAAGATAAAACCTGAAAGCTAAGTTAGCATGTGCTGCTTGCTTATGCCTGGTATAAAAATGGTATTAAGACAGAGCAATGAAGAAACTAAATTAATCTAAGCTTTAATTAATTACACATTTCATTGGATTAATTAAAGTTAGCTTATTGCCACTCTTGAAGTTAAATAAAAAGATAGATCTTCTTTTAACACCAATTGCTTCTGTCAAAAATGGGTTTCCAATAGGTTTATAGTAACTTGGCATCCTCTTCTGTTCATCCATACCTCATACCGTTGGTGCTGGTATTCTTCAAAAGTCGCAATATATTGTGAGTAAGTATTTGTCAGTCCTGCAATAACAACATGTGTTTCATCATTGAATTCTCTATTGCTGCTAGATATTAATGTCTCCTTCACTGCCTCTCTTAGCCTTCTGCCCGCCATTGTTGTGAACTCTGCAATAGTCAAAGGATTAGAGCATGTGATTCTCCTTCATTCTGTACTTATCAATAATGCAAATTCTGTTGAAAACTTCATATTAAGTTCTAGTATTTTTCCTTCAGATTCAATTCAAGGTCTGACAATGGCAAGAACACAAACCTCCAGGTACAGAAAGAATGATCAATTTTCCCAACCTCAGCATTTGAATTGGAAGAATTGCCGGCTGTACAAATATCCAAAATACTATTGATCAGAACATTGTTATCTTCGTTTACATAAATAGCTGATAAGTACTTAACTGTAGTCTTACCGCCCAAGGATAAGGATCAAACATTTCTCCAGTGCTCAACAAAACTTGCTTTGGTTTTTGACAGTCCACTTGATATTGACTTGGTTTTTTCAGCAAATCCCTCGTAGTTTTCCAAAACGGATTAATCTGCACAAATGGATCTTATTTAATGCTTAATGCACAGATAGAAGAATAAGCAAAAGCTTGATACAAGGATGAGTTCTTGAAATTCCATTTTGGGTTATTTAATTGAACTTAAAATGGGAAGTTGCTGAGTGCTGGAAAGGTCCTACTCTAATGGGGCCTTTGTGGCATGAAGGATAAGAAAGAAAGGAACAATGGCTAATTCTACTTGTAAGGTGAGTTAGCATATGTTCCCTCCTGAAGTCAAAAATTCTATAGGAGGTATGATCCATTTGAATCCACAATCACTTGTGACATTGAAGAGGGAAAACTTGTGTAAGTTATGTCATCCTCACTTCCCCATTGGTTTTACCATTATTAGAAACTTAGAACCCCCAAACCCATGATATGATTGGGGAGTCCTTAGTCGGAAAATGTTATAGCTTCAAGTTTTTTTTTTTTTTTTTTCAAGTCTTGGAATAAGGTAAGGTTGATTCTTCTGACCGGAAGGTTATGAGTTTGAGTCCGGAATGTAGCCTCTTTGCAAAAATGCAAAGATAAGGCTGCAATCGACCCTCACCCCTATCCTTCCAAGTCGGGGAGGCTTGTGGACCGGGATTTGCTCTTTTATTAGCTTCAAGTTTTTACATACTCACTCATCATCATTGGGAAGTATATGTATTGCAAAGCAAGTTTGTGAGGACACTTACCTCTGTATCACCTTGTTGAAACCCAAAAGCACCTGGCCCATCTGTAGTGCCTGCTGCAAAACCAGGACCAAGAGCTGCAGGACAGGTTTTAACCACCTTGTTGCTGTCCAATTCAACTTCGATGTCTGTAAAGTTGAGATACACATGGCGATAATCAATCTTCCCTGTCAGTTCCTCTGAAGCAGATCCCAACAGTTCCACAGCAGTTCTGAATTGCCTATCACTTATGATCATTGTGCTTAATATTTCATCTGGGTACCTTCTCCATGCAAAATTTAAAGCACATCACGTGCACATCTTTTTCTACAAGCATTAGGAAACAAACATGCATACACCTCATCTGTTTATACCTGCTTATATGCACTTGCACTCCTGTTTATACCTGCTTCCTTCACATCTCCTACAAGAAAGAACAAAGCAATATATCAGAATTTCACGTATGCAAGTTTGAAGTAATACCCTCATGAGTTCTTAAACATTCAGTAGTTGTTGATTTTCATAATATATATTTGAAATAATACAAACAACCAATAAATATTTAATAATTTAGATGTCAGTGACAGAAAGAAAAAAGAGCACCAAATTATGAGGTTGAGTTCATTTATAAAAGCATGGAGACACTGAGAAATGTTCACCTATATTCATAAAAATGGAACCAGGCTTGAGGTTGCTATGAGCTTGAATAATACTTTGTTCTATTGCGTTAGCAATGGCATCAAAGGATTGTTTCACGAAACCCAGAGAAGTCACAGAGTAAACCATGTACTGCAGATAACCGCCAGGGCCAGCATGTGTATGAATCCCACTAATCGCTACATTTTCTTCAGTATACAAATTTCCAAACCTTCACAAAGATAATCATTACGAAAAAATCATGCTATTTTTCTACTTATATATGCAGAGTATTTACATGCACTTTCAGTTTAATAAGATTCGTTGATATATATAAGATTTTTTAAGGTATTTAATATTTTTTAAGGTATTTAATATTTTTTGGTTTCTCTTAGTATCCCAATTTTGTTTTTCTGATTATTTTTGGTCTGGACTGTTGAACCATGCAACTGAGTCATGTCATATGTGCGTAACTTGGTGTATAAAGTGAAGTCCAAAAACCATGTTGGACAAATGCTTTTAAGAGAAGATGTGTTAGCTAAATTTTTGTACCTTAAATTAAGTCTCTCAAGAACCTTAATAGTTAGAAGCTGCGATGCCATTCCCGCATCAAGATTGACAAAAACAAACCTAGGGCCTTGAAGGTTCTCAGCCACAATGAAAGTTCTAGCTCTTAGCCTGAAATGAATACCAGCTGTGTTCTGTTCAAAGTTGGCATAACCCATCATGTTCACATCAGCAGCAGGACCAGTCATGTCATAGCTTCCCATTCCAATTAAGTACTCACCATATATGGTTTGCATCCAACTCCAAGCACATACCAAACCCAAAGCAACAATAGTAGGATTTCGCCCCATTTTGCTAGTAATTCCCTTATGTTGATGTTAATCTTCTTATATACATAATTACTAGCTGAGAATTTCTTGGATTTCGATACAGCTCGAGCTAACTAAGTTTGTTCTTTCTTCCTGTCGTTAGCTTACATGCTGGAATCAAGTTTACTTCGGTTAGTACGAATATGAATGTGATATCCAAGGTATACTTCTGTCCCTTACTGGGATCTACAACTTAGCTACCACTGTGCATGTGGTTGCATTGCATGTTCTGATATATAAAACTTCACTTTAAGGGCATGGAAGAATAGTAGTAATGGTAGTTTCCTTTTTGTTCTGGGCATTGAATTTAAAAAATATTGTATTTAGTGAAATACTACTGGTACATGATTAGATATCGTTACCATTATGATCAGAAAAATAGCTAAAGCACACCAATTTCTCTTATTGTTGTATTGTACAACATCTTATACTAAACAAGCAGTGTTCATTTTCTTTTATACATCACAAATTACTTGCTATACACGATGGTTATAATTGAAAAAAGATCCGAACAAATATATATGAAGATCAATGTTATAACATTATGAGTTATTCTTCATTGTGTTAAGGTCCAATTTTATTGAAATTTATTCATAAAGAAAAAACAAATCTTTAACCATGTTCAGAAACTTGAGGTTGCCAATGAAATTATAACGAATATATGGCAAAAATAAATTGTTGTGTAGCTTTCATATTGCTAACTTTGTCATCACTCAAAGCTGAATAAGCTAGAACAGGAAGCAACACGCACGAAAGGTACAAGCTAAACACGACATAAAAAAAAAATTCTTGAGGACTTCAGGCAACAATTAAAGGACAAAAAATAGTGCTTGATACTGCTTTAGTGTTCACTAGGCATTGTCTTGATAATATCGGAATCACCTGTAAACGTCATTATCAAATAATCAAGAAAACGAAATCATAAAATTGCTTTGTAATCTTACATGAAAGAAGGTAGGCAATAGATACCAGGATCAATAATGCTGAGGCAGCAAACCCTGTAATATTTGCCGCATGCTGTGCCCAAATCCACGTTGTCTAATGAGCAATACTACTTTGTTATTGATGATTGATAGAGAAGACAAAAATTCAAGAATCACAAAAATTGTCATGTTTGTCCATTGACAAATTCTCGGTTATCACATCTTTGATGTCACACAAGCCTATTTCAACTCGTAGGCTGAAAATTATAACCATTTGCGTAGTTGAGGAAAACAAGCCAGTGAGTTCTGATTCTGTGAACTACTCATGTTGAGGCACATAAGAAACTAGTATCTAATGTCATAGTCACAAAGCATGTCGAATCCACTCTTTTAAAAAAAATTAAATAAATAAGTGAACTCCACAAAGCATAAATAAGTGAACTTCACATGCTTTGTGTCTCTAACATAGGCAAAAAAATTTATTTATTGCAATTTAATTAAATAATTACATAAATATGACAGTTTTTAAAAATTTTACAAATCTATTGCACAATGTGACGTCACTTTTGGGCGTCACATGTGACGCCTAAAAGTGGCATCACATTGTGCAGCTTATATAATCCCCCACTCTTCCATTCACTCTTCACACCTCTTCTCTCTCTTCACACCTCTTCTTCTCTCACTCTTCATGTCTATTCCCTTTAATTTAGTATTTGAATTTTATTTCTACTATTTAAGAATGAGTTTACGTCCTGATTCTGTTCGTGTTGTGTTATATTACAATGGTAGGAAGATAGAAGGTCGACGAGGTGTCATGTTTGCAGGTGAAAAAAGACCGACACGTATCCAACGCAACGCAACCATTGGCGAACTGCATCAGAGAATTCGGCAGAAGTTAAGTCTTCAAGGCAACCAATGTATCACTCAGAGACGCCCCAATAGATCTGTAAATACTCCTCAAACTGCAATAAATGTGTAATTATTTAATTAAATTGTAATAAATAAATTTTTTTGCTCTCTAACATGAGATACTAGTCTACTATAACATGAAATTACTATTCACCTATATAAAAATGCCTCCTGAGTTACAAGAAAGTTGGAATAGTAAAAGCAAAAGAGCCCATGTTAGCTCGAGTATCCGCGCTTCTGTAGTTGCCGTGTTGGACCCCTTCTCAAGGGGATTTCATATCTTCTCAAACCATAAAGATGAGAAGAGGAGACAACGTGATCCACCCAAAGAATCTCACTCTAAGCAAACTTCCCAAATCCCAAGTTGCAAGCATCTATTCTAGCACATAAAATGGACATGCAGAACCGGAGGCAAGGCATTTTGTTTAACAATCCAGATTAAGAAGTACTTGCAATGCTGGGGAATAAGCAAACACCAAAACCACTTCTAGTTCTCACTACATTTAAAGTTGTTTAATCTCTCGAGGCATGCTGAAAACACCCAATTAGTAAAGCCACCCCGCACTAGATATTTATTTAAACGTTTAAATTCGAATCCCATTAAAAAGGAAGAAAAAGGAACAAATTGGCCAATTTTTACCAGATACTTTATTACCAAAAGCTGAGCATGACAATGCTCTGACCAGGAAGACAAAGGGTAATTAAAAAAGCACAAAATTGAACCGTAAATCAACTTGTTCAAGCCACAAGGCAAAACAATATCAAGCTACTTGAGACAGTATATTGGCTGCCTGAGCCAAAATATCTTCCCTTTCGACATGGTCAGTTTAAGGAAAAACTATGCCTAATAATAATTCAACATAGCAACAAGCACTAATACATGGGCAAATTTCACTGCTGCTGTGACCCTGATGTTGATGTTCCAGTTTCGGCTGGTGCAGACCCAGTCTGTGAAGACCCTGGCTGCATAGAAAGCTGATATGGATGATTTGGAGCTGGTGGCTGTGATGTAGCCAGTGGAGCATTGTATGGTGGTGGGTACTGTTGATAAGGGGGAACTGGTGGCATATAACCATATGGAGGGTAATACTGATGATGATATTGGCCAGGTGGAGGTGGCATCATTGGATGGGGATAATGTTGCATTTGCTGCTTCTCCAAGCTGGGTTTGTTCTCCCCAGACCCAGTAGGCCCACCAGGAGGACCATCTTGAGATGGGACAAGAGCACCCATTCTTTGAGGATCCATTGATGGGTAATAGCTTCTTTCCTGCTGAGGAGGAGGAGGAAGTGGATTGTTGTAGTAAACAATTCCTTGGGTTTGATCCTGGTTCTGCTGCTGTGATATAACTGCTCGAGGCAACAATCCACTATGAGCCACAGATGCCTGCTGCCTTGCTTGATCAGAGACATCTGACTCAGGTTTTGCTGACTGAGGCCTGCCCCACATCAGCTTTAGCCTTAGGCCTTTAATAACCAGTTTGTTGGAGAGTTCTTCTGCTGCCTTTTCTGCACCTTCTCGGGTTGTATAGGTTACAAAAGCACAAGCCCGTTGGAGAACCATTTTGATGGATTCGATTTCTCCATGGGCATAGAAGTTATCCCGCAAATCCTGCTCAGTGACCCTAGCATCCAGTCCACCAACATATAGAGTTTTAATGCTCTCATCCTCAGGAGCCTCCAGAGAGGTCATCTCTCCTGCCTTGCCAAGTAGCTTCATAGCCACCGGATCATTCACCCTGCATGTTTAAAGAACATCAAGACAAATTCTTCTAAAGAAAAACAAAGTTAAAAGCATGAAGCATATTTAAAATGTCATCAACTACACAACAAAATATCACCAGTATCTGTAGTTACAAGGAAATTGTGCAGACTGCAGAAAATTAAAAATCAGAAGGATATAGGCTAATATGAGATTGAAAAAAGAATTATTATTGTATTCATGATGTGGATTAAAAAATAGAAACCATAAGGTTATCCTCGAAATAAGTTTGATACGTATTTGTTGGCTATTGACTGTCTGCTAAATCATTTTTGGCTATGTTAAAAATTAAAGGTAAGATACTATAAAGCCATCTTCATTCATCCATGTTAAAAAACTGTCTTACTACACATTAACATGTAAAATACAAGTAGCAAAAACAAATAAAATGTTACTAAAAGTAGGCAAAATTACAGTTTACGAACCATACAGGCAAGGTACGCTTTTCATTTCACCAAAAACCAAACAAAACAAAATACACGACTTTAGCCACATACAGCAGGAAACAAAGAATGAGCCAAACTTGCAAGTAAATGGAATTACTAACTTAGTAATCATGAAAATTTCCCACTTTGAATCCTCAAATGTTAATGCCAAATAATGGTCAAGTGATAAAAGTTATATGATGACTCAATGTAGTGGCATATGGTTTGCTTGTTGTTTGAAACAAAGCTCCAACAAGCATGCCTACTTTTCATCATAGTTATAGAGTAGGTCATCACACAGAACAACCTCAAAAGAACCAAATGAATGCCTGATAAAGCAACAGCTATCCCCATCGTAAAATGGAAAATGCTTGACTTGCTGCCCAGTGCTAATGACAATACATGGCAAAACTAAATTGGAAGAAAAAGAGTAACTGAAAGAGAGCTCAGGTTAGAAAAACCCACAACCAAAAGTGGAAGCCATTTACAACCATACATACCCATAATAACGATCTTTGATATTTTGTTGAGACAACTCCCCAGTTACAGGCATCTCATGCCTATAAGGGCACTCAGCTCCTCTAGTACACTCACCCCTTATGTAGAAACTGCAAACATGTGCCCGGTTTCTTTTGTAATATGGTGTTGTCCTTTGAAGCTTCAGAATAGTATCATTTGGGCGTGCTTTACCAAAAGAGGATTCATAATCTATACCAGCTCGAGCCTGCACAACGTAACGATTTTAGTAAAAAGATCATCCTGAAGTAATGACTAATATGAACTGGGTGACAGTAGCACATAAATTTTAAAAAAAATTAAATTGATAAAAAAAACAGCACTGCAGAAATTTGTAATTTTAATAGCCGGTGCCAAATACGAATGTGAAACATCAGATTTCCATGGTTGAGGAATTATGCTTGTAAGAAGGCAAAATAACTTCATTGCACTTCAATAAATTATGGCTCTTTGCAAGAAAATGTAATGAAGCAGTTTTGGGTAATAAATATAACTCCAAAATATTACAAATCCGTGTAAAACACAACAAAATAAGAATTCACTCGCAACTACTTATGGATTGAACTTAAACTCATTCCTACTGAGAATTTTACCTAAAAAAAATGAGAAAATGATATCACAAGGTAGATAGATAACTTCAGGTGGAAACTATGCAAAACTGGAATTTAAACAACATAAAAGCGTATAAAATCTCAAAGATGAACACATATGCTAGTGCAGTCAATCAGATAAAAGAAAACAGCTGAGAGATGAGAGCACACAACACACATTATGAGTAAACTCGAGGATCAAGCCAAGTTATCCAGAGATGGCCATATATAATCCAAAACACAGAAGGTTATTGAATTGATTAGAAAATGGGGGAGGGTGCAGACTCATAATTTGTCGTAAAATATTATTCAAACAAAATCTTCAATGGTTTTTTCTTCAACTAACCCACATCTATAAACAGTTAGGGCAGAGAATTGAAACCAAGACAAAGAGAGAAGTGAATGTTCGGAGTGGCTTGGCTCCTTGGAACAATTTTTTATGACTAGCTTTAATGGTTTTGGTAGAAGCTAAATATTTATGGCAATGAGCAATCTACATGAAAGAAGCAAAAGCAGTGGTTCAATCATCCAGCGAAGCAAAAAATGTTGCAGCAGCAAGTGCTACTGGTCACACAAAATGAATAAAGAAAATGTTTTTAAGACACCAGACAACTCAAATAATGCTTCATCATGATGGATTGTAAGACACGAGACAACTAAAACAATTGTAGCTCAAGCAATAAAATTTCAGCAACTACCATCCATAGTTGACACTCTTGGTAGTAGCAAAAGTAAATCTATCAGACAGATGCAAGCATCCCGAATATTGCAAAGCCAATGCATATCTGAAGTTCCCATAATAAAAATGTAATATAAGATATTTAATTTGTCAGAGCACGCTTTTTCATATGCAAATTGAAACAACAACAATAAACTTAGGGGCAAACAACTTGCATCTTGAAACAATTACAACTCATTACTTTCCCCATCTTTAATGAATTATGTTCAACACTTCAACTATCATCAACTATAAGCATGCTTTATCACAAGAAAACATACCCTGCGGTCGTGCTCTTCAGCAAAATACTCCCTATTAACATCACTCTTTGGAATGGCATCATTGGAATCGATACTGAGAGCTGTGTCGCGAACTTGAACTGGGAGTCCATATTCAAGATCCAGAAGGCACACTTGGCAAACATTCTTCAATTTGCTACATGTCTGGCATATCTCAGTTTTCTTATATCTAGCATCTCGACCAGGTCTCCATCTAAACACAGTAAATGGCCGTGTACAAATCTTACACTCCTTGTCATAGTCTGCTTTTGTCTGCATCCAAACATAAACACAACAAAAACCAATTAAACAAACACCTCTTCTTCTTTTTTAGGTTTTGTTTTTCACTACCAACTTCCTGCAACACAATAACCCTTTCGATTTCACAAAATAAAACAGAAACATTCAAAAGAAGAATTCAATCACCAAGAAAGACAAAAAACAAAACAATCCAACAAAATTTAAAGCGAAAGTGGGTGCGGGGAAAGAGAACGAACCATTCGAACATAAGGGCTGTCTCCAAGGCAGGATTCGCAGATGATGGGGAAATCGGAGCGCTCCCAACCGTCGGCTTCGTGGTCCCTCAGCAACCTATGCGCCATGTTTAGGGTTTGGAGGGGTTCTCCTCTCTCTCTCTCTCTCTCTCTCTCTCTCTGGTTCAACAACTACAACGTCTTCCTTCTCCTTAAATGGTTTCACCAGAAGAAAAACAAGAAGAAGAAGCAAACGAAAAAGAGCGTAAATTGCGAATCGGGTTTCTGCAGAAGTAAAACAAGAAGAAAAAACACCAAACGAAAAAGAAGTAAATGCTTCGAATAATAAAGAAAATCAAAAATTTGTTTTCACTTTTATTTCTCAAATTACTTTTTAAACGATGTTTATTAAGATGGACTTTCCAAACTTGATTCTGAGTGGGTTCACTTTTATAAACTTTATTTCAGAACCTATTTGATTAAAAATATTTCTCATCTTAAATGACATAACACCTCTGTACTTTTAAAAGAGATAGACACAGAAAAAAATTTTATTTAAACTTTAAATTAAAAAAATCATTCACTTTCTCTCTCTCATGATTTTCATTTTTTGTGTCTCTCTTTTAAAATGGCATAATTTATATCATTTAAAATGACAAACACCAAACTTTTTTTTTTGTTTTTTTGAAAGATACTTTTTAATTAATTTCTTCTCTCTAAATTGTTTCGTACATTTTCAGAATTTAGATTTTCTAGCTTCTAGTAAAAAACTGTAAATTACACTATATTTCTTAAAAATTTATCCAAGCGCTCTTTAATCAACTCGATTTTGTTTTTAGATTTCCGTACCCATTCATTCATTATTCGATTAATCTGGTAACTCAATTTTAGTCATTAGGTTTGATAAAAAGTGATTTATATTTAGAAAACTTTATTTAAAAAGTGATTTTTGACTAAATTATTTGGATATTATTAATCAAAATTATTTTGAATATATCATTATCAAATCAAAGTTAAAATTATTTTTTTGTATATGACCTGTTCTAACATAATCAAGTAATATGCTATGGAGCAACCGACCCAAAAGAGACCGCTAGACCTAGATCGGATCATGTATTTATAGATGGTAATGTAATGCGGTAATATAATTCCCATAATATAAAAAAGGACGAGATAAAGTAGGATTATGGACTCTCTTTTTTAATTCATCGTATGCAATATCATCTTAATATTATTAATTTTAGGAAAAATTTATTTTTATCTACTGTAATTTTATGATTTATCACTTAATTCTTTGTCGTTATAAACTTGTCACTTAAATCTTTATACTTAAATATTTTTTCTTTTAACCTCACGTGATTTCAAATTTTTCACTTACAAAAATATATCATTTATACCCCTTGTGGTCTTATAAATATATAAATATTTACTTTTTCTAAATTTTATTTTATATAAGGAAAAAGTATCTAATGTTACTTTAGATAACTTTGTCTAATATTCATCAAAACGACGTCGTTTTGTAGTTAAAAAATTAAAAAATTAGAATGATAAAGACTATTATAACTCTGAAATAAATTAAAATTACAAAAATACTATGATTTTTGTCTCAAAACGACGTCGTTTCGGAGAACATTAAATAAGTAAGTTTAGAAAACACAAACCCTTTATATAATTATGATGTTATCAAATAAATAATTAAATATTAAATTTAAAAGTATTTCAAGTTATTTATTTTGGAATTAATTTATAAATTATCTTAACTTTTTTATTTATTATTTAAAAATATATTTAATATTATTTAAGATAAATTAAATATATATTATCAAAATAAGATATTTAATTTCTTTAGATAATTTTATAATACAATCAAGTAAAAAATAGATAAAATAAAATAATATTAGATTTGAATTTATTTTCATGATAAAAATAAGAACAAAAATCATTTTTATTTATCTGCCTTAAATGCATTAGATGAGGATATAAAATAAAAATAAAAAAATTTATATGTATAAAGTTATAAGGATATAATTGATATTATTATTAAATTAAATTTAAAGAAATAATTTATATTTTTCGTTACATAATATTAATTTATAATATTATAATAATATAAAATAAAAGTTGAGAAAAAAATAGGTTACGTACATATAAGATCACAAGAAGTAAGTCATATATTTTTATAACAACAATGAGTGTAAGTGAAATTTTGAAATCATATGAGATTAAATGATAAATTATTCGAGCACAATAAATCTAAATGACAAATTTAAAATCATATGGAGTCAAATAATAAATCATAAAACTTCCTTAATTTTATATAATTTTAAATTTATTTCATAAAATGATGCAAAAGTAAAGAAAATATCGGCTTTGACCAGCATTTTCTTATGACTTTTTATCAAAGTCATGGCTTTTAACCACCGCTTAGGGTTAGATTATACTTTTTAGTAATCTTTACTTTCACCCATTGTTATTTGTGTGCTTATCATTTAGCATCGTGTAGTTTAAAAATAATCACTTATATCCGGTGTGATTTTCCTATGTGTCATTTAATCCCATAAATAACTAAAATGCTCTCATAAACCTACCAAAAGAAAATGCTCTCATAATATAAAATGTAAAATATACCCATGACAAACAAAACACTAAATTAAAGATGAATTGTCAAAAATATCCTGAATTAAAATAAAATCATAATATATTTTATCTTATTAAACTTTAGAAACTTTGCTAGTCAACGACACCAGATCCTTGTTGTTCCAAATTGATGTTTTATCTTTCTATTTCACCTTGACAAATGGTTCGTGAAGGTTATTATATCTGCTACTCCATCAGAAAAGAATATACACGACCTGGTGTTAGATATTACTCTAAGCCATTATGTATTCCATCCAAGGGACCTCCTTCACGTGTTCAATAAAAGGAAGAACATCTACCACATTCTGTACATTACAATCAGTTAGATGCAAATTCTATAAACAATCACCTCAACCTAACACCTTTGGTATACAGTATCTCAAAAACTAGCTCAAAGGGTGAGAGTGTCCAAGGCCTTATAAAGGCCATATTAGTTGCTGATACAACTAATGTGGGACTATATATTTTAACACGCTCCCCTCACATGAAAGCTCATTGGACTTGAAGAGTGGATGATGCAACAGGCCCAGCCAGTCTATCTATGCTAAGAAATTCCACTAAGATTAATTGGGAGTCGGCGATATTTGAACCCGGGACACGACACGAGACTCTGAAACTATGTAAAGAATCACTTCAACCCAAAATCTTAAGGAGTTGTTAAGTGAGAGCCTTTTTAATGATTTATGTTATTCTCTAACACATAATATAGCTAGACGTTAGAATTGGCCTTTGTACAAGTTTTAATAAAGTGATTGCGGATATCTGCTGCCGCTGAATTACATGAGTGTCTGCAAAAAGTTGGCGCAAACAAAAATTCAAGAAGCTTAAGAATTAAGACAGAATCAATGCAATGATAAATGTGAATTTCAAGCAATATATTCGTGATTTAAATATATGGCGGCGACCATGTTCCAAACAACTACTTTAATTGACATTGTCCAGCTTATTTTCAAACCAAAGGTTGGTGTCTACGGTCAAAACATATCTATAATGAAGATTAAGTTCCCAGCCTATCATATTTGTCAAAAGCAAGCAGAATGAAGAATATACAGGTTATTAAGAACCAAAAAAAAGAGGAAGCAAAAGGCCAGCAATATATTATACACGAAACACTACACCTCCCTCCTCTCTCCCAAAGAAATAGCAGTACAAGGCTTTCCACACTTTTATAACCATATATAAAAAATCAAACCCTTTATTTCTCTTCTGAAAACCAATAAAAACATAATATGTTTTTGAGTTGCCACTTTAACAATTAAATTATAAGGAGCTTTGCACTAAAATGGAAAAAGGATCATCCGAACCAAGTTTGCTACTTGATATTGTAGGCTGTATAATTATGATTTAGATTAGACCTGTAAAAAAATATCATAGTTTAAGTAGTGCCTAAGACTTTCATTATCTAATTCCTTTGGTAGGCCAAGAACATAAAGACAATGGGTATTAAAAGTAGGTGAAACTAGCCTAAAACCTCCAGCTTACCCAAGAATCTTCAGATATATATTCTATTTAGATTTGTGACTTTATTAGGATATTACAAACGTCTATTACGCATTGCAGAAGAAAAGAAATATTTACAAGAAGCAAACACAGGGTTGAGGTAATCAGATAGATACCCTGGCCTTGCACTCAATTTATCAAAGTGCTCCAAGATAAAAATGCTGCATGTGTGCCTCAACACATATTTGGCTTTGGCAAGTGAGAAATTTAAAAAACAAGCATTATCATTGCAGGGAACAAAAATGTGGCCGTGCAGATTGCCAAAAAGCACCCACTGCAGATGTAATATTTTTCAATTACAACACCAACACTGAGTTCACAAAATAATTAAGTATCATATAAAAATTTCTATTATCTCCAAACATAAATTGCTAAATTTGAATGCTATTGGTGTTGCTGGCTTGCTGCAGTGGTTGTGATTCAATAGCACTTGAACTTCCGGTTATACTTGAACTTTCAACTGCATTTGGCCCAACCCAAGGCTTAATTTTAATTAGGGATAATTTTGATCTTTTATTTTTAATTTAATATTTTGTTTATCAAGGGTATTTTTTATATTTTATATTATGAGGATATTTTAATCATTCAGCGGGTGTTAGAAATCGACAATCACACAAAATCGAGAAAAGAAAAAAGAGAAGAGAGATTGACATGATGATTTATCCTGATTCACCAAATATAGGCTACGTCCAGCTTGTCTGTACTATATCCATCTTACCGCCACTCGTTACAAGTCACTCGGTTTACAAAGAAAATATAAATAAGATTAGAAAATACTAACAACTATTCATGAGCTAAAGCCCAAATTGCTAAGAAAATTACAATAAATCAGAGATCCCCACAATAGTACATAACGTCTACGGGCATGGGGGCGCTGCTCCCCAGACTCCCGTCCACTCACCTGGGAGCAAAATCTCAGTTGTCCTTCTGCTGACCCCGACAACAAGAACATTCATCAACATGCGAAGTATGAGCCACCCAAACACTTTCCTCATTTCATAGAGACATTATTTAGGTCTTTCTTCTTCTTTATAAATAAATTTCACAGATTTATTTTGTTACCTTAGTCAATTTTTCCCCAATTTTTTAATAGAGCACAAAATGTCAGGGTAATAATTCTCAATACAATTCACTGACACAACATGAACATGTATGTATTTAGTTCAACCAATTT